CCGGGCGGCGTTGAGGCGGGGTACTTCGCAGCCTCAGCCTTGACGACGCGGCCACCACGGACCACGTGGTTCCAGCCAGGGCCCATGTTCTCCTGTTCCGGAGAAGGCTTAGCTGGCGCCGACGAGGGCGCTGGCAGGCGCGTGGAGCCGCCGTCCTTTCGGCCGCGTTCCCCTCTCGCACGCTTTGCAGCGGCCGCCTTGGCTTCCTTCCACTTACTGCAACCTCTGTAGTTGGTAGTGTGGTTGCCCCCGCAGCTGAATCACTTAAGCTGCAGTTTGGAGGTGACACACGACCCGGATGGGTGGGCGTCCCCGCAGGCCACGCACCTGGGTGCATAACCACAGTTTCGCTGCGTTTGTCCGAAGCGTTGGCACCGCTTGCACTGCATGGGCCCCTTCGGTTCGACGTACGTTTCCACCTTAACACGCAGATCTCGGTTAGAGCACGCACCTTCGCCACGTCGGGGCCCCGTGCTACCGACACTAAAGTGCGGCATGAGGGGGCGGTCACCGCCCTGGTCCATGACCCGGCGCCTCGATCGGAGTTGCATGACCCCCTGAACGTCAATGTGCATGGCGGTCAGCTCCTCACGGATCTCGGGCATGGGCACGCCCAAGTTTTTAATCACCAGGCGCACGAACCGATCCTCGGGGAGGGAGAATGTGTGAAAACTCACACCTTCGTCCTCATCGAGGGATCGCAGGACCCTGACGGTGGCCCGGAATCCGTCGGCTGTATCGGGCACCAGAGTCAGGAGATCACCCTTCATCTGGGCCACGATCCCGCAGGCCGAATCCGCGCGAATCCTCTGTAGGAAGCCGTGAATGTTTTTCACCCCAGAGACGTACACCGGGGTTTTGTTCCGGCGCTCCCCAGGAGCCGGTTTCACCACTTGGGTATTAGAAGCGGCGTCCGACGACATGTCAGTCAGAGGCCCGGACAGGTCACCGGAAGCCCGGGGAGACCTGCGCCTAAGTACCTCCTCTGCCGAGGAAGCGGGTCCCGGCTGGGAGCCGGGTCCCTTGGCTGAGGGCTTGACTGTCCCACTCGGCGGCTTCAGCGCGGCGGGGTGAGCGGGGGGAGGTCTGCGGGACGACAACACGTCCCTCTCCCCTTTAACCTCTGTCGAAGCCCCAACTTTAGTGGGGAGCGGTGCCCAGGAATCCACCCCAGCAGTCGCCCCTTTAACCAGTCGCCCGGCCACTACCCCGGTGTACGCCGCGCTGACCTCGGCATAGCTGCCAAGTTGCCGGCCACGCGAGGTGGCTTGTTCGCTCGTGGAGGGGGTTG